CCGGTGCCACCGGCTCCTGTCCCCGTGACGCGTGGGGTCCCTGTGTCACTGGGTCCTGTCCCCATGCCGTGTCCATGTCCCCCTGTGCCACTGGGTCCTGTCCCTGTGACGCGTGGGGTCCCTGTGTCACTGGGTCCTGTCCCCGTGCCATGCCTGTGTCCCCGTGTCACTGGTGTCCTGTCCCCATGAAATGTGGGGTCCTCCTGTGCCACTGGGTCCTGTCCCCATGACGTGCCCATGTCCCCCTGTGCCACTGGGGTCCTGTCCACGTGACTTGTGGGGTCCCTGTGCCATCCGGGTCTTGTTCTGTCCCACACCCGGGTCCCCCCATGCCACGTGGGGTCGTGTCACCACAACCTGCTGGGGTCCCCCTGTGCCAACGGAGTCCTGTCCCCACGTCACATCAGTGTCCCGCTTTGCCATGCTGGGGCCCTGTCCTTGTGCCACTGGGGTCCCCCTGTGCCACATGGGGTCCCGTCCCCTGTGCCATGCTGGTGTCCCCTGTGCCACATGGGGTCACGTCCTTGTGCCATGTGGGGTCTCCCTGTGCTATCAGGGTCCTGCCCTGTGCCATGCCGGTGTCCCCCTGTGCCATCAGGACCCTGTCCCCGTGCTACGTGGTGTCCCCCATGCCATGCGGGTCCCACTTCTGTCCCTTGCAGGATCCCATCCCTCTGCCGTGCCCATGTCCCCCTGTGCCATCGGAATCCTGTCCTCACGCCATGCCGGGGTCCCCCTGTGCCACGTGGGGTCCCACCCCTGTGCTACGCAGTGTCTCCTGTGCCATGGGGGTCTTGTCCTGTCCCATGCCCATGTCCCCCTGTGCCAGCGGAGTCCTGTCCTCATGCCATGGCTGTGTCCCCCTGTGCCATCAGGGTCCCGTCCCCGTGCCATTGGGGTCCCCCATGCCCCATGCAGGGGGTGACGGCCATGCAAGGTGGGGTCCCCCCTCATCCCCCCCTTGTCCCCCTTCGTCCCCGGTGACCCAGCGGAACCGGGGCTGACCCTGCCCCGGCGTGGGAGGCCGCACCGGGGAGGCGCTTCCTCAGGAAACCCCCCGGCCGCTGCCCGCCTGGCGCGGCCACCACCGCCACAGCGCCCGGTGTCACCGCCACGGCACCGCCCCCGCGCCCCGTGGCACCGCCGCGGCACC